TCACAAGAAGCCCCCAGGAGGCCCTCAAGAGACCCTAAACTCCCCCGCAGAGGCCCCGAGAGCCCTCTCGTGACCCCAAGAAGCGTCCACGAGGACTCCGACCCAAAACCCAAGCACGGTGGCGGGATGGGCCGCGCCACGTCACGACTTTCGATGCTGCGCGATCTTCGGCAAACTCCCAGGGAGCGGCCGGTGATGCGCCGCCGGCGTCCTCGATTTAAATCGTTCTTTGTACGAAGTTGTTGGCCACTTGTTGGCCTCGTGGGAGGGGAACCCCAAATTCAGGAGCCCACATCCTTTGATCGATCTTCTCCAGGAAGACCCCAAGATAGCCCCCGGGTTCCCAAGGGTGCCCCAAGATGGCCCACGAGGTGCCCAGGAGGCCCCAAGAGGCCCCGAAGATGCCCCCAAGAGGCTCCCAAGAGAACCTCAATAGGCTCCAAGAGGTCCCCCCAGAGGCACCCAAGACAACCGAAGAGGCCTCGGCGAGAAGGCAAAACTCTTCGATTCGACTCTGAGGTTTTGGCCACATTTCGGGCTCCTGGGGCGGGAAGCTAATTCAGTACGGCCTGTCCTTTGCTAGATCTCCTCCAAGATGGCCCGCGAGGCCCCTAAGGGTGCTCCAAGGCAGCCGCAAGAGGCCCCAAGAAACCCCGAACAAGCCCCCGAGAGGCCTCCAAGAGGGTCCAAAGAGGTCCAAGTGAAGCCCCCAGCCCCCCAAGAGGCACCCAAGACGCCCCAGGAGGGCCCCGGGACTGCCAACAGACCTCCAAGACGACCTGAGAAAGACATCCGAAGATACTCCGAAACGCATCATGAGGCCTCTGGCTTTTCTGCCCGCCCTCCTCCTCCTCCTCCTTCTCCTCCTCCTCCTTCTCCTCCTCCTCCTCTTCCTCATCCGCCTATTCCTCCTTCCTCCTCCCTTTTCCCCGTCCCTCTATCAATACTTCTCCGCCTCCTGCGTCTTCGATTCCTCCTCCATCCTCCCCCTCTTGGGGTATGACGTCTGACCCAGCCCCGCATTCCACTGCAGGCCCCTCCACATGCCTGATCAGGGCAACTCGTCAAGGCATCGTTTCTAGATGGGCTGGTGGGGTTACGCTTTTTGATCGCAAGCGCACTGGAAGACGCCGGGCGCCGTCAGAACAAAGCGTCGACGCAACGGCCTCAATTAGCGCACAGAAGAAGAAGGGCGAAAAGAAAAGAGAAAGACGGCGGAAGAGACAAGCAGCGGGCGAACCTCAACTGGTGGGGTTACGCGAAGCGTCTTGAAGTTGGCCAACTGTTTGGCCACATCTTCACAAAAAAACAAAGTGAGGCGGTGACTCGCCGTCAACGGTATATTTCTGTAGGTGTTCCCGTACACACCCGATTTTTTTTGCGAAGGATCACCACCGATGCCTTCGGCGTTTGTTCCCAACAGTGCGCGCGCCTACTGAACTGATGTGCGCGGGGCCCGACGGTCTCGGCCAGCGCGGCAGCCGTGACAGGTCGCAAACCGATGCTGCCCGAAAGTCGAACACACCCAAGGCCCCTGACGAAAGACACCGAAACAACTCCCTGGGGCGACAAACCAGCACCCAAAACGCGTCGACCCCAGAACTTGCTGCTCACCTCCTCCTCCTCCTCGTATCTTACGCTCGATAAACTTGTTTTCTGCGATGCTGCAATGTGATATGTCGTGTTGTCGACGGGACGGCGTGACGCCGTGACGCCTATAACGTTCGAGACGTCGTGTCCGATCGGACGCTGCTGCGCCTGATTGTACTTGTGGCCAACCGGACCTCGGCCCGCACGTCGCGTTTGACCATGATGTGGTACGGCCTATTATCGTATGAAGTTTCTCTTCAAGTGTGTGTGTGTGCGGTTCGGCTAAAGTGTGGTATGTTCGCCTTCGTCATTGTACGATTTGCTATGATATGATATGCCATGCTCTGCGGCACAACTGTTATGATATCTTATGAAGGGCATGTCAAACACATTGGTGTTATATGATGATATGTGATGTTGTAAGGGGTATGATCCTCTGGCATGACGTACCTCTTCCGTGAAGCTATAAACAATCACACTATATCTAAATCGTTAAGGTAGGGGCAGCATTAGTACAACAATCCTGCCATGGTATGCTGGTTACAGCGTGCTCTATTCGTTGTATGCTGCTGCTTTGATAGCGTTCTATTATGCTGTGCTCTAGTATGTCTGTTCTGCTCTCGACAGGCGAGCGATGCGTGACGCAGTGACGACTGTCACGACAGCTACGTCGTCCGAGCGGTCGTTGCTGCGCCTGTTTGCGCCCGTGTTGTACAATACACCGTGTTGTGTTGTCACGATTCACAGATCTGCATATGTTGTTGTATTGTGCTCTGACAAGCTCACGTCTGTTACATTATGCCCTGTCCTGAGGCACCATGCGTGGCATGATATGGTCTTTCAATTGAGCTCGGTTATGATATGCGTGCGTGTGGTGGTGTTTACGTTACGTCGTGCTATATCCAGTGTATTATGCTATGCTTTGTTATATTCAGATGTGCATCTGCACTTTAATAATTTACATGATGCTACAGTACATGCGTTACAATGCTTGCATGTTTGAGGCAAAGGCAATGCGAGGTGCAGTAGCAGCAGTGGTCTGACTGATGGGGCAACGTAGTGCCACACATCTTCAAGACAAGGACAAGGAAGTATAGTCTCTCCAAGTGAGTCAAACCGTTCAGACGGACATAGTCCTGTATACTGCGGCATAGCCCAGTGGCCTTCCAGCACAATTGCGAACGACTGCGAACAACCGAAGACTCTTTTGTCCGACCCCTGCTGGGAATAGACTTCGCCGTAGGCGAATACATCTGCAGGTCATCGTTGCTGGGAGTCCGGCTTCCGATCCTGTGCGAACCATTAGGACCAAGTGGCACAACCATGCCTTTCAAGGTAGCCGTCTTGCACGTGAACCATGCTACAGAGAGCAGAGAAGCTGAAACAACGGCGCAGGCTTGCACATGGCGCGGCAGAATCCATTCTGCTCCTATTGCCCATCGCTTGACCATGCTTAACAACTGATGTGGCTTTGGCTGGCTCGTGCTCGAACGGCTTGAGCCAAAATGTCCACGGATGCGTTACACTGTTTGCATTGTTATGTTCAATGGTGCTCGATGCTGCGTGCTGTCATGTTGTGTTCCGCAATGCCAATGTACGATATGATATGTTATGCGGTGTTGTGTTCTGCTATTTCAGAACATGTGATACAGTGCGTTGTCTGGAACACTCGGTTATGTGATGATGTGGTCTGATATGCTATGTTGTGTCATGGTATGTAGGTGTCCAATTTCGTTCGCGTTCGACATGTGTTGCTATATCGTGCACTGTTATGTTCTGGCTAGATATGCTCTGATGTAGCCTTCGTTCGTATGTTTGTGTTTGGCATGTGATGCTCCGGTATATGCTATGATACGCTCTGTTAGATGATGCTGCTGCGCTATGTTAAGTTCTACGGTGAAAAAATGTGTTGGCGCGCTTCGGCATTGCATGCGTTCGTATGGTATGTTAGGTTATGATGTATTATGCTATCGCAGCCTATGTCAGCGTCTGTTACTGTATGCGATGCCATGACATGGCGTGACAGTTTGTTATATCATGGTATGTATATGGATGCGCCATTATGTCATTTAATGCACTCGCATGCCCTCTTCTGACATGATGTGTGATGGTCTGCTGTGCTCTGTATGATCCGCTATGTCGTAGCATGCTTTGCTATGCTGTGGTATTGTTACACACAGCTCTGTTCGGTGATGCTGCGTCATGTAGTGCTCTGCTCTGTACATTTATGTTCTGCAATTCTCTGCATTATCATGTTATGTCATGCTCAATTCTGTCACGCTCTGTCGTGTTCGTCATCGGCGCGAGGTGGGCGTCTCGGGGGATTCTCGGTGGACCTGGGAATCTGCTGGCCGCAGTGTGCAGAAGAATGGCGGGATCGACCCGAGGCGGGCGTCTCGGAGGACTCTCGGTGGACCTGGGGATCTGGCGGCCGCGGAATGCACGGTGGTCGGGCCGGGATGTCTGCTCTCAAAGCCTGCCGGCCCCGACCCATCAGGCGTGGGAAGCAACGCAGCATCTGCGTTCACTGGCTCTGTGTGCGTGCTAGCGCTCACAATCGATCCCCGCTGACGACCCACATGCCCATCATGTGCTCATGACTTGGGCCGCTGCCCTTCAGGCCAAAAACGTCACGTGACGCAGCGCTTCAGGCAAAAAAGGGGTTCGCGGCACCTGCTCCCCGTGCCGCCCGCCCCTCCGCACCCTCAGCCCCCCCCCTCCACGCCCAATTGCACATCCGAGCGCGATGGGGGCTTCGCGCGGCAGCGCGCAGCGCAACTCAACACAACGGAATTCTGGCGCGAATTCATGAGGTGCGATAAATAGGGGGGGAAGAAAGATGCCCTTTTCTAATCAGCCGAAACCTATACACCGATGCTTCTTCTGGCCCTCGCACTAAAAGTCGCACAGGAAAGCGGACCCTGGTGTATACAGGATCCTGGTGTATACATGTTTTCGTTGCTTCCCCAGGACAACGGTGAACAAAGTATACACCACATCACCCCGACGTCGTCCCTCACCCTCAGAAAGTCTTTGGATTGAAAAACAGCCCGCCACTGGCAATGTCACGCATTTGAACAGCAGCCCTAAAGGTCGCCTTTGGGGCCCTAAAAGGCCCCTTTCTGCAGCCTTCGCTGCCCCTCCATTGATCGCCCCCCATTGCGCGTCCTCCGTGAATAACAGGGAATGCTTACGCCAATGGACCAAAACAAACCTTTGGCGACGCGCATGCCTCAATCGCTGACCGCACCTGCATCGCGTTCAACTTCACGAAGACGCCGTCCCGCTACCGCGATTCTCTTGTAACCTTGTTGACGGAATTGCATGCTGTTCCCTTCAGTGCAGGGAGGGGCACACCAGACCTCTTGCGCCAATGTCCAGACGCTAAAACAAGACAGCGATGGCCGCACCTTGACGTTGTCGGTGACACCGCGCTGGGCCACCCCGTTGGAGGCGTCCTTCCGATGGCACCAGATTGACTGTAGAGAGACTTAGAGCATGCAGGAACGAACATGAATGAGGAACTGGGCAGTCGCCTTCACGAATTGTGTGGCTGCTGCTTATGTAATTCATGTAGGACGAGGATGATAAGATGAGAGCGGAGGTCGAGCGGAGGAAGCGGAGCACGGTGCAGCGAGTGGCGAGCGGAGGAAGAAACCACCCGGCCGCACGGTGCAGAGCAATGGCAGAGCATAGATTGCAGTCGGACAGGCCATCTCAAACAACTGATAGACCCCTCCAGCTCGCCCAAGCTGGCCCCTCCGGGTCCAGCACGATTTGGAACAAGCTCGATGCTCCTCCCAGGCTCGCTGCTACGTAGCGACGACGTCGTCCGAAAACTCGTGAGGCGCTGCTCGAGATCATCCACCAGCCTGTTCCCTTGGAGGGGCCCTGGGACACACACATAAACACACACACACACACACAAATGACCAGATGCCCCGTCTTTTCCCATGTGTTCTGGGTTTTTGTCTGCCCCCCATTTCCCATATGTTTCTGCATTTTCCTGGGAATCGACGATTCATTGTGTCCGTGTGTTTTCCCCTCCTGCCCGCTGGCGGGAGGCCGCAGAGTTCGCAAGGCCTGGAAGCGCACGGGACGGCCCTGCCACCATTCAGGAGCCCGACGGCGGCCTCCCGAGCTTGCGGCATGTACGGTTGGGATTTCGGATCCATTGGAGGCCTAGAAATAAGCACCAACACCAACACAGGGGCTTCCCTCCACATGGGGAAGATGATCGTAGATTTCGGTGTTGGTGGCAATATTTCAGTTACCTTGGAAGCCAGAATATTACCACCATCACCGAGATCGGGATCTTCTTCCCTCAGTGGAGGCACACCGCCGATATTGGTGTTGGTGTCAACCTCTAGGCGTGCGAATCTAGGATTTTAGGTTTTAGGGTTCAGCGCTCAGGATCCAGGGTTTAGGATTAGGTCGGGCATGTCCCCCGACAGGGGGATTTTGGGCGACAAATGAAACATGGTCGAAACGTGCACCAGAATGCTCAGACATGGTCAAAACAAACGCCCCCAGACTGTTCTTTCTCTATGTTTGAATGCTCCTCCCGTAGAGGCACAGGACCGACTTAAGTTTGGGAGCAAGCTGCCGTCGCGACGTGTTCCGCTTCGAGACACTGAACTCGTGTGGATAGGGGGAGAACAAACCTACCTCGCTTTTGACCACCCTCGCTTCCAAGAGATACCCAACGATGCCGAATTGCAGCCTGTACTGGTCAGGCCGCTTGACGAGGAGGCGCGTGGTATGGCTTGGTTATGCCTGGAAGCGAAAGCGGGGTAGGTAATTCACGCTCTGTGTGGAGGCGTCCGAGGCCTCCGCGCGGACACACTGCACTTGGAGGCCTCTCCGAGGCCCGGAGGCCGCCGGGAGCACCCCGAGGCCCCGACAGAAGCCCAACGCGTCGAGAACTCGATCCTCGATCCCAGAATCTATGAAGGGGCCCCAGGACACACAAATAAATACACACAACAAAAAAAGATTCCCATATTTTCCCATATTTCCTGGGTTTCTGTCTTCCCCCCCACTTCCCATATTTTCCCATAGTTTCAGAGGAATCGAGGATTAATTGTGTCTGTGTGTTTTTTCCTCTCCTGAATTATACCCCCGACGTGGCTCACGACGTAGGCCTGCGGAGGCATCGACCATCGACCCCATCGCCAGAACGAGCTCTTCATCCCGAGTCGGTTGTTGACCATCCGGGGCCCTGGCGGGGGCCGTGAAAAACTGTTCGTCGCGATCTTTTTTCGGGCCGGGCGAAAGGGGGGGATAATTAGCAAAGGGGGGGGTTCAGAATCAGCTCACGTATAGCTGATGTTCCTGGCGCCTCCCGGCGCCGGAGGCGGCTATGCGTCGAGGAAAGGGCCCCTCGGTGAGGCCGAAACCAGCTGCATGCAGCAAATTTCGTAACCCCCCCTTTCCCAACCCCGGCCCGATTTTTGTCGCGGCGCGGTGGGAGGCCTGCGAAGGAGCACGAGGCCGACGGCGACGGCGAGCCGCAGCAGCGGCACGCTCCCCGGCGGCCCGCTCGCCCCGGCCACGGCCGCCGACGACGCCGGGCGGCGGGCGGCGCAGGGAGGGCGGCGGCAGCCGGCGGCGGCAGCGACGACGCCCGGCCGCGCAACCGCGAGCGCTCCTTGGCGGCGGCAGCGGCCGGGCCGAAGTCGTAGAAGCTCGCGCCGAGGGCGTGGCCCGCGCCGCGGTCGGCCTCGACCTCGGCGCCCAGGCCGAGGTCGGCGCTTGCCGGCGCCGCGCGCCGCCGCCGCCGCCGCCGCCGCGCGCCGCGCGCCGCCGTCGCCGTCGCCGGCGCGAGGCCGTCGCCGCCATCGCCGCCGCACGCCGTCGGAAGGGGGAAGGAGGACACGGCGCCCCTGAGATCCTGGCGACCCACTTTTTTCGAGCCGGGCGTGTTCGCTCCATGTCGGGCCGCTGGAGACAGAGATTGGTCCAGCTCGAGAAACGACGCAGAAAGAGGGGGTCCAGGGGTCCAGTCGTCCAGTCGTGAATTTTTGCGATGTTGAATTTTTTTGCAACGTCGGATCTCAGGGAGGGGCACTGCCCAGCAGAGGAAGGGCGCGGGCAAGGGGAGGACGAGGCGACCCGGGAGGAGAAAGCAGCGAGAACCAGCAAGACGAGCAGGAGGACGAGCAGGAGGACGAGCAGGATGCGGAGGAGGAGGCGATCAGGCAAACGCTCCGGGCCTCAACTGCACCGCTGCAGCATAGCCCGGGCACCCACACCGGGCCCTGCCAGGCCCAAGCAGGACCCGGGTCCAGGATGTGCCTTCGAGCTTCGATCCTTCGATCCTCCTAGATCCTCCATCCCCTGGAGATGAGTGAGGCTCGACGGGGGTGAGCAGATCGGGCGGGTGGCCATGGGGAATGACCTCGTTCCCACACGTAGGTCACCCCCCCATTACCACTCGCCCGAGCGCATCCACCGATCCGGGGGGCCGGCATGGCCCAGACAGGCGCGCCATGCTGCAGAGAGTTTGCGTCCTGCACCGCACGTCTGCCCGCTCTGGTCCAGGCGCCCAGGAGTACGCGCCCCCGGACGGAAGGGGGGGGGGAGGCTCTGGCGAGGAGGAAGACGAGGGAACCAGGAGGAAGTCGACGACCCTCAGCTCCCTCCAATAGAAGACGAGGGAAAGAGGAGGAAGTCGACGACCCCCAGATCCCTCGAATAGACGAGGAGGACGAGGAGGCAGTCGACGACCCTCAGATCCCTCGAGTAGGAGACGAGGACGACGCGGAAGTCGACGACGGTCCGATCCCTTGAGACGGAGAGGGCCTCATCGCTGCCTTGGGCCTCCGGGGGGCTGCTCAGGGCCCCCGGGCAACCGGCAGGAACAGGTCCTGGATGGAGAACGGGCCCTGCAGAAAACGTCGAGAGCCCTGGGGAGTCACTTCACTCCTCCTCCTCCTCCTCCTCCTCCTCCTCGTCCTCCTCCTCCTCCTCCTCCTCCTCCTCCTCCTCCCACTCCTAGCCCTTTCGATCAGGGTCGGCGGCACCGGCCGTCAGGCCTCTCCAATATGGCCTGAGATCCTGGCGACTCCATTGTTTCGAGCCTGGCGATGTTGCTCCATTTCGGGCCGCGCGAGAGACTGATCTATATATATATATATATATATGTATATCCGGCTCGAGCAGTGTCGCAGACAGATGGAGTCCGCGGGTCTCATCGTGATTGTTTGCGATGTTGCAATTGTTTTGCAACGTCGGATCTTAGGGGTGTGATGCAGGGTGTCCACGGATGTGGAGGAGAGAGGAGAAGGAGCAGGACGAAGTGGAGAAGCAGGAAGAGAAGACAACATTACATAACCTGAGCAAAAAAAAGAACTGGCCCTGCAAGAAGATACGGCCACGGATCTCGTTCCCGAACTCCTGTCGATCCGATAGTATATGTTGACCATGTCTGCAACCGCCTCGGGAAAGGGCAGGAAATGAGAGGAACACTCGATGAGGAGTCCAGGGTCTGGCGGCGGATTGCCAAAGTCGCGGCTACCCTCGTCGTCGATGTCGTCCGTCGTCGTGGTCGTGGCCGTCGTCGTTGCCGAATTCGACGTCGTCGTCAGCGAAGTCGTGGTCGTGGTCTTGGTCGTGGCCGTGGACGTGGTCGTAGTCGTCGTCGTCACCGTCGTCGTCCTGTTCGTCGTCGTCGTTGCGGTTGTCGTGGTCGTGGCCGTGGCCGTCGTCATGGTCGTGGCCGTGGCCGTGGTCATAGTCGTGGTCGTAGCCGTGGTCCGTCGTCGTCGTCGTCGTCGTCGTCGTCGTCGTCGTCGTCGTCGTCGTCATCGTCGTCGTCAACGGTCGTCCGCGCGCAGGGGGCGCGCCGACCCGAGCGCCGCCGCCGCCGCCATCGCCCCGGCGGGCCGCGCCCCTGCTGGAGACCTGCCCCCGAGCGCTCAAGGGGGGGGGGGGGGGAAACGGCCACCGTCACGACGGTCCTCCTTCTCCTCCTCCTCCTCCTCCTCCTCCTCCTCCTCCTCTTCTGCCTCTGCCTCCTCCTCCTCCTCCTCCTCCTCCTCCTCCTCCTCCTCCTCCTCCTCCTCCTCTTCCTCCTGTTCCTCCTCCTCCTTCTCCTCCTCCTCCTCTTCCTCCTTCTCCTCTACTTTGTTCTATTCTATTATATTCTAGTCTAATATATTCTATTACATTATAGTATATTCTATTATATTCTATTATATTCTATTCTATTATATCCTATTCTACTCTATTCTATTCTATTATATTCTACCCTCTTATATTCTAGTCGAGTCTATTATATTATATGCGGTTCTATTCTATTCAAGGACGTGGGGCAATGCCTGCCACGCCTATAAACAAAACCAACCAGCCAGCTCGAAGGAGGGCGGGATCCTCGTCCTCGACCTCCTCAGGAGGGCAATCGTCCCCGCCCCGCACCTTCCAAAACTCGAGCTGGTCCGAGGAGACTCCGGACCTCCGAAGAACCTCCTCGCGGGACCACCGAACGACCCAGACGGGTTCCTGGGCTCGAGGCGAGGCCCGCACGCCACCAAACACACGAGGGGCCGCCAGGGCCAGGAGGTCGCTAGAAGAGGGCTCCCGCAAAGGCCCGAGCCTCCAGCCAACATACCGAGGGGCCCACGAGGGTAAGAGCCCCCTCTCCACCCTCGCCAGCTGCCGCCCCGTGGGCTTGGTGGGCGGCCTGCCCCCACGCGGGCGCGCCAGCGAGGCGACACCCCCCCACGCGCACCCCCCGCAAGAGATGCAGACGAGGGCGGTGGGTCCCGAGAGAACGGTGGCCCCGCGGGGGTCGGAGACGGCGGCCGCGCGCAGACGGTGACCGAGGAGCTGCAGCAGCACCGACAACTCGGGATCGTCACGAGAGCCGCAGGCCTGAAGGCTCTGAGGCTTGAAACGGCCGCGCCCGCCCGAAACAAGAGAGCAGGGCAGGGGCGGGGGAGGCAGATCCGACGGACGAAGGCGCGGTTCCTCCTCCTCTCCCGCCCCCGCCCCCGGGAGGGCCTCGGCGTCCTGGGCCGAGGACGCGGCCAGCCGAACCTCCTGCTGCGCGGCCCAGCGGGTCGCCTCTTGAACCAGGCGGTCTAGGGCTCGAATGTCCGCGTGGGCCGACGCGGTGGATGGGGTGACAAGCGGCGCCGCGCCGCGCGAACTTGTCTGCCAAACACTTCCCCGCCCGCCCCCACTCCGTCGCCCGCCCCGCCCACGCATAATGAATCGTCGTGTGGCCTTTGACTTTGTGGGCCACAAGGCCCGAGTCGAACCTGGCGTGAATTCTCGCCCAGAGATGCGCCCTGGGGTTCGATGAACAGGTGGCGACAGCGTGGGGCAACGCGCAATCGATCGCTCCCTGGCAATCGGTGAAGAACCCGACGGGTTCCCGCACACACTCGCGTGCAAAGAAATAAGCGGCGCCCCCCCCGTCACGGGCCTGCTGGAACGGGGCCAGGTCCGCCGGGGCTGCTCCGAAACACCTAGACTGGAACCTACCTAACTCATCAGTCATCACGAAGCCCCAACCCGCTCGCCGCGAGTACTCGCAGGACGCGAAGAGGGCGGATCCATCCGTGAACACCGTGCCTCGCAAAAAAAAAAAAAAAAAAGAGAAGCGGGCCAGGTCTGGCACGCTTCGTCGAACGAGACGATCGGGGCAGGGGGGGGGTCGATGGGGCGAAGAGAATGTGCCGCATGCAGTAAGCTCAGACGCCATGCCCCACTCTCGCACCTGGCTCAGGACCGGCCTGTCGGGCAAACTGCACATAGTTCGCCTGTCGACCTCATCGGTGCATCGGCGTGCCTGGAGCCCCGGCGCACGCTAGACACACGTTCGAGGATGCCAGGCCGCGGTCGCACATCCGCTGCTGAGGCCATTGAGTCAGTGACACCAGCGAGCGGAGAGAAGACTGGTGGTGGGACGACCAACGCGAAGACCCATGCCCCTCCATCAACCGCCGCAGCGGTCGCCGAAAAGCTCGGCTAAGCCAGGTTCGCAAGCGCTGGTGCCTGGCGAGCGAGGCTGCGTCGGATGCCCCCGTCGCCGCTCTCTCTGCGAGCTGGCGGGCGAGGCCGGGCGAAAGCCTAAGCAAATCTGACTGCCCCCCTCTTTCCGAGACCACCGCCCGAGCCGACTCCACCCCCCAACCCAGATCAGCGAGCGAGAGCAGCCAGACATGGGCAGGCGACGCGGCGGCCCCCCATTTTGAGGCGGTCGCCTGGAGGTGGCCCCGCGCCGACACGAAACAAGCCTGAAGCATGTCCAGCGGCGGGGGCCCCTCCCAGACGGCGCGCGCCCACGTGTAATCAACTTCCCCGCGGCGCAATCTGGCGGGTTCGAGCTGGGCCCCGAGCGTGGAACTCAAGAGACGCAGGCCCGTCGAGGCCGTCCTCTTCCTCCGAAAGAAACTGCGCACCGCTTGGAACCGAAGAGCGCAGAGCTTCCTGTCGGGCAACCCCGCGACCGCAGAGCCCCAAAAACATGCCGCTTGGGGTCCCGCGCGGCGCGCGTCACCGATCTTCGCGCCAGCCTCGCGCAATCTTCTGAGGCGCCCCGCGCGGCAGAAAACCTCGCAAATCCTGTCCGTGGCTATCAGGTCCCCACGCCTGCCAGCCGTCGCCGCATCCGCGCCCAGGTCACGCGCAACCCCCCTACGCCTGAACCCGAGAGCCCCCCATTCAACGGACACACGGTCGGCGACAGACTGGCAGGATGCGAGGAAAAAGCTCTCACTGCACTGCAGCACAAGGCCTGGGTCAGAAAAGCCTGCGGCGAGCGCGCGGCCCACTGCGCCCAGCAGCTCCGCCACGCGCCTCGCCGCACCGATGCACTGCGCCGATGCGTCGCCCACCGCGTCGCGCACCGCCACCGTCGGGCGCTCGCGGCCGAGGCTGGCGAACGCGCGGTAGAGGGTGACTTTGATCATCGCGGTCGCCAGGCTGCAGCCCGCCAGGACCGCCCCGCCGCCCACCGCGACAGCCGCACTGCAGCAATCCTGGCAGGAGATCGCCCGCGGCCCGCTGCACAGTGCGCACGCCGCTCGCATGATGCGCATGCTGAAGCCGACCCCCTGCGCCTCCCTGCCCAAGGTAGCGCGCGACACAAACTCGTGCGCCCCTTTCAAGTCCTCGAAGAGCGATCCCGACTCCATGCCGAGCGCTTGAGCGCAGTGGCCCAGCGCGTTGTGCTCCCAGCCAGCGCGGTCGCACGACTTGTCCCGCGCTCCCCAGAAGGCGGCCTGCCTGTGGTCGCGCTCCCACTGCTGGCACGCGTCCGCCCTCAGGCGGCTCCGCGCTCGCGGCGAACTGGCGATCAGAGCGGACGGCCTGAGACCACCACCATCCTCCCCGATGGAGATGATCAGCGTGGGGCAGAGGGCGGACAACGAGGGCGCACGCCCTCGCAGCTCAATCAAGTCGAGGATGCGCACCTGAAGCTCCTCGGACATCAGGAGCCACGACCTCGGGTTGACGCAGTCACTGCCCAGCCCCGTGCGGGGGGCGAGGCGGGCCAGCACACGCCTGAGACTCGCCAGGCTAGCCCGCGGGAGCTCCTCCTTCTCGGCCGCCGCAAACGCCTCGGCTCCGAGCGGCGCCTCGCCCGCCTGCCAGTAGGCCTGCCACTCGGCGAGCAGCGCCTCCACGGCCGCGCCCACCTGCAGCGGGGCCCGTCGGGCACCGAGGGCCCGTCGAGGGCTGAAAAGGCCTTGCTGTACCTCTGCGCCTCCGCGCCGCCCTTGAGCACCGCTCCTCTGGCCCAGTCTTGCCCGCGGCGCCAGGCGGCCTGCTGCTGCTTACCGACAGCGTCGGCGCGCTCCCGAGGGCGCTCCTCGGCCTCGGCCAGGCCGGCCCCGCCTGCGAGCAGCGTCGCTCCAAGGTCTGGAACCGCGAAGCTGCGGCCGGCCAGCTCGCTGGGTCCGAAGCGGCCGTCGGCCTCGCGGCTGAAGACGGCGTGGAGGTCGCGCACCTGGCCGCGAGGCCCCTCGGGCCACGCCCGCACCTGCTCCACGGCGCCTGCTGCACCCGAGCCCCCCCCCCCGCCTGCGCGAGGAGAAGCGCTGGACTCTCGGGCTGCCTGCTGTGACACTTATCGCTCCAGCCCCGACGAACCCTCCGCGAGGCCCTGCACGCAGGACGCCAAACCTTCCACTCCAGGCAGCTCCTGGGAACGTCGCGCGGGGGCGCGTTCCTCCCTAGCCCGCGAGGGCTGGGACCCACGACCGGGTCCAGGCTGCAGCTGCGCATGGAGAGCGTCGCCAGCTTTGCGCCCTCGCGGGAAGGGCCGCCCACCAGGCGGCAACACGACCACGAAGGCGTCCTGTCCGTGCGGGGGGGCGGTGCTCGAACCGCGGACGGCGTGGGCCACCCGCCCGTCGGCGGCGTCGGCGGTGAGCTGGGTGCTGGAGGGATGCATCGACCACCCGCGCGTCCGCGGCTGCCCGCTCGCACCCAATGCCGCCCCCCCCGCTGTGGTCGAAGCCCACGTGGCCGTTCCAGAGCGACCTCGCCCTGCCCGGCACCGCAACCATGGATCGCCAAGCCCTGGCGGCTTCTGACTGGCCTGGCAACTGGCGCCGCTTGACCAACACGTCCAGCGCGACAATGCGGAGGCTCATGCCGTCGGCCCTGCCGCGATGCTTCTCGCCTGCGGGCCCTTGAAGGTCGAACCGGCAGCAGAGCTCATCCTCCATGTTCCTGAGCCACTCCTGCCACGCACCTACGAGGCCCAAGGCTGTTGGGGGCTCCCCTCTCAGCCCAGCTCCAGCTGTGGACCTGCGGATTGGGGAGGCATCCCACCTGCCTCGCCGTCGGGAACCTCCTCCGCTTCAGGCGGACTTGGACGCAAATGTTCAGCGAGAAACCTGAGACGCACAACTCGATCGGCGAGTGGGGGGCCGAGGGCGCCTCCGTGT